TATCACATTTCAGGCTTATCTAATATGCATATTGATTTTAAAGTTTTTTTTTATTAATTAACTGTCCTTCTTTACTGTTCTTTTTGTTTGAGGATTGTTTTGATTTTCATATCAAAAATAATTCTGTTTAGGAATATCTTATATAGTGCAGAAAAGTGTTTGAAACTTGCTTTAAAGTTTACTTGGCCTTCAACATATTGGGATCTATTTGTAAAACTTAACTATAACAATTCAATTTATGAAAGATAAAGATTTTGATTCAAAGATTTCAAGTAGTGAAGATATCTTACTTTGCTAAGTGTTAGTGAACGAGTGATGTCTACTAGTTTTTGTTTCTGTGTGAAATTGAGTAGATGGAACTCTTGGGGACCATTTGATGGCTGTCTTAGCACAGTCACAAGTCATCATGACCAAGGTAAGCAACTGCAATAGGTATTGGCTAACCACCCTAGTAAAAGGGTACCCTCGAATACGAGATTCCAGCTATCAATGTATTACATAATCTGTCTGTCTGTGTCTCTCTCTCTCTCTGTATGTATGTATATATATATATATATATATATAATGCGCGTGTGTGCATATGGACACATGGCCAAGTGGTTAAAATGTTCACTTCCTGACCATGACTCTAGTTCGAATCTCATCACAGTTCATTTGTCAGGAAGGAGACTTCCTAATGTTATCAATCTGGAGGGGGACGATCCCAGCGTGTGGTACCTTTTGGTAAGTGACTGAAAACCATACCACTGGTTGACCCAAACCTTGAGTGAAATTGGGTAAATAGAACCTTTGTTAATCATGCTAGATAACATGCTCTCTCCCAGAAACTAAAGTTCTACTCAGCATAATTGCAGTATAAACCACAGGTGGGCTCTGTGGTTGTTGAACAAATACAAATGTGCCTGAGTGAGTGTCTGAATTAGAGATTGGCTAACTGCTCTAGTAGACAGGTATCCTTGAACACGAGTAATATATATATATATATATATATATATATATATATATATATGACATTTTTTATGTTTTATATGTTCTTTTTATAGATACAAATATGCTGTTTATAATAAACAGTATTAACATTTACATTTAAAAATGCTCTGTTTATAATAAACACATAACAACTTTTACAGGCCTGAATGTCAGAAATTTTCATAGAAAATATGCATCCTCTGACAGAAATCAAACCTGTACCCTATGCGTAACCATCATATAGCCTGACATGCCTTAACTGATTAGGCCACAGAGGAGCATTCGGTTAGCAAGGTCGATTTTACTGTTTTTAAACAATTCTCCATGATTTTCTTTCATTCATATCTACTCAATGCGTATGCAAATGTAAACAAATGACATCGTACATTATGAAATGGACAAAGTCCGGCAATTATTTTTTGAGACATTTTTTTATTGAATAAAAATTATTATAAAAAGAACATATAAACATTCTCGTGGAGAATTGTTTAAAAACAGTAAAATCGACCTTGCTAACGCTCTTCTGTGGCCCAATCAGTTAAGGCACATCAGGCTATATGACGTTTCCGTATAGGATACGGGTTCGATTCCTGTCGGAGGACACATATTTTCTATGAAAATTTCTTGGACATTCAGGTTGTTAAATGTTGTTAATACTGTAATACTGTTTATTATAAACAGAGCATTTACTTAAATATTTGTATCTATAAAAAGAGAATGTATAAACATAAATGTCTTAAAAAAAAAAAAAATTGTCAGACTTTCTAGACAGCTTTTTCTGAGATGTTTGTCGGTTACTATAGTGCAAACCCTATGTGCTAGGGAAAGGGGGATGGATTTCAGACAGCTTTCTGGCTGATGACTCTTTGGTTAAGCAGGGTGACATTTCAGCTTCAACCTGATTTGCCCTGTTTTTCTCTATCGTTTTTGCATAGACCTTTAAGAACTGCAGCCTTGGTATTTACATTTGCTATCATTCAACAGGAAAGTTGTTTAACAACAGGAGGTTTGATGCAAAGTCGAAGGTTCATTTGTCGTAGATCAGGGATTTGCTATATGCTAATGACTGCGATCTTGTGGTTCACTCGGAAGGAAATATGCAGCATCTCATAGATGCTTTTTCTAATGCATGCATTGCATTGGGATTGACTATTAGTTTGAAAAAGACAGTAATCATGTACCAGCCAGCTCCAATGAAGTGATATCTTGAACAAAGCATCTTTTGTCTATGGTAAAAGGTGGAAGGCTGCTCAATGTGCTCTTAGGAGCACATTGAGCATGTCCCTTGATCTTTATGTAGGAATTTGAAACAGCATACAAAAAGCTAGTGACGCACTTGGAAAACTGAATAAACATCTGTTTAAGCACATTTCAGTGAGTACAAAGCTAAAGGTCTATCTTGCATGTGTGTTTACAGCACTCCTTTACACTTGAGACTTGAGTAGTCTGCTGCAGACAAATGAAAAGACTTGAGATTCCACCAGTACTGCTTATGTCATATCTTTGGTATTACCTGGCAAATGTTTGTAGATGTGCTAGAGAGGAGTGGCTGTGATAGTATTGAGTTCTTGATACTAAAACTTCAACTTCTGTGTGTGGGCCACCTTGTCAGAATTTGTTTTATGGTGAGCTGTGAACAGGGAACAGAAATGCTGTCAAACCCAAAGATGCATTTTAAGGGCTGCATGAAGGTTGTGCCGAAGAAATGCAATATTCCTTGTGTGCTCTGGAAAGAATGTGCATCTGATCACGATAATTGGAATAAGGCTGCTAGTAGTGGAAGGCGTCACTTTGAAGATGAGAAAGAGGCACGCAAAGCTTAAGAAATGTGCCTAAAGGCATTCTCAGTGAACTTCCTGAAGATACTCGCAGGCAGCTCAAATCTGACAGATTGTGGTAGTGTTTGTCAATGGCCTGTCTAAGGAGTTGCTTAAGACAGGTGGAAATTGACTATAAAACTGTAGACATCCAGCAATTGAAATGTGATATTTGTGGTAATATATGTTGGTCCAGAAGCATTTTCATGCGACATTTCAAATTGCATGATAATGTACCAACAGCTGTTGGACTTCTTAAGTACCCTGTTTGTACAGAGTATGCCGGTCCTTTACTGGGCTGAAGAGCCACATTTGTTCAGCACATCAGTAGATCTATTCCAAAAAGATAGATAGTAATAGCCATACTTGGGCATAAGTTGGAAACCACCACATATATATATATATATATATATATATATATATAATATATATATATAAATAATATGAAGTAAATAAAAAAACAA